TATTTGCAGCCAACCACTGACCACCAATGTTGGGGATTATTTTTACAGGCAACCACCAATACTTCGGATCAAAGTTTTTCTTTATTTTAACAGTTGCTAATTGACTATTTTATGAAGTTCTTCTTTAAAGTAGAATGAAAAGCATTTGTGATAGAACAATTTTTTTTTAAGTGATTGTGCTGAGTGTAATACTTGTCTGTTAGATTCAGGTTTTATTTAGTCAAAACCCATTTAGACTTACTCACAGTTAGTGCAGTCTGGCCACACCCACTCTTCTAACTTCAATCGTAATAGTGATCTATCCCTTCATCAGATAGCTGAACCTACCAAATACATTTGAATATCTTTATTGCATGAAGAAGGATTCAGTCAAGGTGATGCAGTGGATGTTCTTATTTGTAGGTGCATGTCTTCCAGCATGTCTTGCAGGAAGGATAGCAGGAACTCATAATGCAGAAAGAGGAAATTGCATCACAAAAAATGGGAGGATACACAGAAAAATAAGTGTAGTGAAAACAATGACCACAAGGTGGCAGCATAACAAAGCACAGTCAACAATGACACTACACAGAGAATAAACACCATTGCACTGCAATGAAGCTGCAAAGCCCCTGAAAGTAAAGAAAAAAATAAAATACAAATATTTAATAAAAAATAAATAAATAAAAATAATATATTTGAAAAAATGTGAAAAAGTAAAAAAAAAACATTTTCGGTTTCGGCCTGACATTTTTTTTCTTTTCGGTTTAGTTTTGGTTGTAAAATTTTCATTTCGGTGCACCTCTAGTTTTAAGTAATTCCAGGCCTAAAATGTGGATTATAACATGTGTGCAAAAAACGCCTTGGCAGTGAAGGGGTTGAGGGGGAAACTCACAAAAACAAATGACATGGGGTCACCCCCAAATCCACATTGCATTGGCTGTCACTGTTTACATATTTTTTTCTTTAGTTTTTAAAATTTTTAGAGATTACAAAATGTGTGAATTACAAAATGGCTTGTGCAGCAATTATACAGTATATGCTTTATTTTTTTAAACGATTTTTTTATTTTTTTATTTTTAACACAATATATAAGTTTTCCCTTTTTCCCTTTACGTTTCAATTAATCTTTCTATTTCTGTTCACCTTGTCAGATGTGTAGGCCAAATACACTTCATAATCATATATATAGAATATCCAATAATCCTCATTTCACCATCTAAGTTCCACTATAAAATAATTTAAAGAAATACAAATATGCTGAGCATAGTGTAACCCAGGGGTGCCCACAAGTTTTTGTGTTAAGATCTACTTTTCAAATGACGAGCTATATGAGATCTACCAACGAAAAATAACTCCCTCGCTCTCTCTCTCTCCTGGCTGTCTCTCTTGCTCTCTCCCCTGCCTGTCTCTCCTCTCTCTCTTTCCTGGCTGTCTCTCCTTGCTCTCTCTCCTGGCTGTCTTTCCTCGCTTTCTCTCCTTGCGGTCTCTCCTTGCTCTCCTGGCTGTCTTTCCTCGCTCTTTCTCCTGGCTGTCTCTCCTTGCTCTCTCCCCTGGCTGTCTCTCCTTGCTCTCTCCCCTGGCTGTCTCTCCTTGCTCTCCTGGCTGTCTTTCATCGCTCTCTCTCTCCTGGCTGTCTTTCCTCGCTCTCTCTCTCCTGGCTGTCTCTCCTTGCTCTCTCCCCTGGCTGTCTCTCCTTGCTCTCCTGGCTGTCTTTCCTCGCTCTCTCTCACCTGGCTGTCTCTCCTTGCTCTCCTGGCTGTCTTTCCTCGCTCTCTCCTGGCTGTCTCTCCCCGCTCTCTCTCCTGGCTCACCATGCTGTATTTTGCAAACAGTGCAGTGCAACAGGCTGTGTAAACTAATATTCTTTGATGCAATACATCGCACTTCGACCACCAGAAAGGTGTCAGGGAGCTTGGCTCAGCAGACTCAGGCTAATAGGTAATCATGTGTGCACACAGTTAAATATACCAAAATGGAATAAAGGGGCCGCCATTCACACCCTTCGTGATCTACCAGTGTAAGCTTTGAGAGCTACTGGTAGATCACTATCTACCTAATGGGCACCCCTGGTGTAACCTATAAAAAAAAACACACACTCTTAGGCACCATTCACATGGGGTGGTCTGGGATTCCTGCGGCAGGAAACCCAGGTGTTCCATTCAGATGCGGCCGATGTGCGCATCAAAGTAAATGAAAGAGTGACAGCGTCCGCATCTGTCAGTGGCATTTATCACATGTATTCGTACATGGGATAAATGATTGTCCCATCTCAACAGCAGCAGGCATTAATTATCAATAGCCTGAGCTGCAGAGCACAGAAAATTTAAACAAAACTCAGGTATTGATTATTTCTGCCTGTTGCTCTGAGATGTAAGTAGTAACAATATCTGAGTTACTTCTTACATCTCAAAGCTCAGGCAGAAATAATCAATACCCTGAGCCTAGGAAAACCTGCAGATTACAGAACATGTAAACAAAGCTCAGGCTGGCTTTGGGCTAGCTGTTAAATCAAAGAATGTAACAAGAGACATTCCTGGTCCCTACAAATACACTAAAACCCCAAATTACCCCCAAATAATTTCCAGTACAGAAACTCTCTCTAATATCCCATCTTTTTTATTTTCTATTTTTAGACCCATTGACACTGGCGGCAGCCTCCATTGTGCTTAGAAAAGCGACCCACAGGGAATTGCTTTTCAGAGGGAGATGGATCAGGGGCTGCCTAGCGTTCAGGAGGCGATTCTGCTGCCTCCTGAATGCAGTTTTTTTATGTTTTTCAATCCCAACGGGGATTTTCTATTACAATACTGCACGGCAACCACATACCCACACAGTTGCAGTGTACTTCCATTCATTGAAATGGCACCACCTGTCAAATACAACATGCTGTATAGTTTTACCATTACAGATGCAACAATATATATGTTCGTCCACAGTGCTGTCATTGCTTTGGGCAGCTGGTGGGCGGTAAAACTGCAGATCGAGCGCCTGGTTTTACTGCACCCTTGCCACTCGTGTGAATGAGGCCTACATTTCCCATTTTTCTTTTTCCTGGAAAATGGACCTTCTCTCTTATGTAAACATGTTATCTACTAAATAACATTTCTAAGCAAGAACACAAGAACTACACAGAGGAAATATTTGCTGATGCTTTTTATTGAGCTTTACTCTTTACTTAACTAGAATTGGTAAGTGACAATTGTAAAACATAATTGTAAACCAATTATGGGCATAGGAGATACATCCTAAAAGACACCACAGAGCTCCTAGGGTGTAAATCCTACGCCTTGCGCTTCTCCCCCTGCCGTCGCTATTGGTGGCAATCTTGGGAGCCTCTCCTGCTATAGACTCTAAAACTGTAGCTGCTCTAGTGTAAGATGACACTTGCAGATAGTAAAAATTACCTATTATTTTCTGGGGTCTTTTATTTCTATTTTTTATATAAACTTTATTTCCCCCCAGGGAATTGGGTCTTCCATATTGAATACGTATATCAGGGCCCTCTGTATTGAATCCAATGCTGGAGCAAGCGTCACCTTGGCTTCTGTTTAAGGCTGGGCACACACCTTACAACCATCGCAAGACTCCTGTCTTGCGATGGTTGTAAGGTACTTAAAAAAACGTACGATCTGCCTATGTTGCATAGGCAGTTCGTACTTGCGATGAGCACAAGCCAGGCCCCCTGAGGGGCAGGCTTCCGATGACCGCAATGCCGAACGGGCAGTGTGCGCTTGCGCACACCGGCCCGTACGGATGTTATCGTACGGACATGCCACAAACCCGCCGAACATCGTACGATGCTCGGCGGGTTTTCGAACATGTCCGTAAGTTTAAAGTCGTGCGACCTTACAGTAGTAGAGGTTGCAAGGCTTCCACACACCTTACGATCATCGTACGATCGCGGGATTTCCAGCGATTATCGTATGATATCTGTCTGCAAATACTGTCAGGCTAGATGTTTATGCTTCTAGATGCTTAAAGTGACACGCATTTATACGCGTTTATGTGCATATACACGGATATGCGTTTAGATGCATCTGTCCACTGACACAGACCATTGAAGTAGCCAATGAGATTGAAGGAAATAAACACGCCTTGCATTTACATGCGTTTACATCTGTTTACATGCATTTTAGCGCATTTAGAAGTTAAAATTGATTCCTGCACACACCTGACTTCTATTCTTCCTTAACGCGGCTAAACTGACTGCAGATAAAAAGCATCTAAACGCAAGGTGTGAATAGATCCATTGGAAATCATTAGATACATATATATACATTTAGAAAACCATTTAAAATGCAAATGAACGCCTCTAATGCACTTCTCCAAATACCTGATCAATGGCTGCATCCAATCAGATTGTTCAGGTATTTCGGAAGCCAGCAGGGCCAACTAGCAAGATACTGAAGCTTGGCCCAGTGGGAGATTCCTCCAGCCACACAGTTTAGCGTAGATGGAGGAATCTGTTGCACTTTTTCCATCTGACCATAGAAAATCTGCAGATAATCTATAGGAGTATGGCCAGCTTTAGGGTCCATTCACACATATACTGGTGACCTGCATTGTACAGAAACGGATCAATGCAGGTCACCACAATGCAGGTGTGATGGGCGGTGTGCTGCGATAAAATACAAACATGCAGCATTTTATGGCAGTGTTGTGGATGCTACCGCAGGTCGCTGCACAGCAGCCATGCAGGGACCTGAATTGAGTGTACGCACTGTGCACTTCACATCAACTAAAAAAAAGAAATGTAAACAGTGACAACTCTGACAATACAATGCACATTGCTTGAGTTGCCACAACCCATTAGCCTAGTTCACTAGTTTGAATAGCCCCTAAGCTGGTAAAAGCCTCATGTTATTAAACACAGACTTGTGAGACCCTAAATCAGCACTGGTATGGTAAATTGCCTCAATAAATCAGTGATTGGAAACTCCTGACAATGCAGCTGCATGGTTTAAAAGGGGACTTCTCAGGTGTGGTGCTACTACTGGACTGACCTGAAGAAACACACCATGGTAGCAATGAAAGGCTCTGTGCTCTGTATGGTTTTGCTGTGGACATACTGCAGTGATGTGGTAGGTTTGTTATTTAATTATTTGTCATAATGTGGATTGTGATTCAAATTTGAACGGTTGGAATTATCTAGTTGTCACTTGTTTGTTGGCTAGCAGTCATTGGTACTTTCTGAATTTATGGGAATTCCTCCATTGAATGGCCTATGTGTGTGCAGGTGCCTGGGAATGGCATCTAATAGCAGCTTTGCTGGGTCAGTTTCAGGCTGGCTCATAATGGGGGGTTATTGGCTTGAGTTATGCTCCAAGCTAGATTCCACTGCTACATATGCTGCTGAAATACACCTGTTGGCTGCCAAATGACTTTTAACTCTAAGTGTATGTAAACCCTTACTGTGATCTCTCTTCCTCCCTCTTGGTCTGTTAAACATGCCATTAAAAGCTTATTTACCTTGTGGACTACAAACAAAATGCCTCCCCCATGTTATGAAGAGGGGTTTCTGTAGTCCTAGCAAAGGGTGACAATGTTGCTCCTCCAAAGATGCAAAACCGTATTGTCACCCTGGAACAGGAAGACTGTTACTATCACCATTAGGTGAAAACCAATGCAGCCACCACACTGAAGGACTGCAATATATTCTATTTTGTTCTGTTTTAGATACACATCTGGAACATTCATGCTCATAAGAATTCCTTTTTATACTTTTCCTGCTTTGGTGACTACGGCAGCATTTAAGCCAAAGCATCCACATGATAGACCGGAAACTAGCATTCTTGAAAGGAGCCTTCAGAATTGAATGTAGTAAATGGTGCTTTATTGTAACCCTGAAATGTTTTTCCATCAGGGGGCTCAGTGTAACATGACTGGCGTGTGGGTGAATACCCTGGGATCGGTGCTCATTCTTCATGCAGATGGTTCTCGTCTTAGTGGCTCTCTGCGATCTTCTGTGGAGCTCCATCCAGGATCTGCTGGTGACCAGATGACTGGGAAACTGATGGGAGTCCTGGGAAAAGGAAAACAACCAACATTTAGCATGTCTGTGAGCTGGAAAGGAGGTGAGAAACTACTTGTCGGTGGAGGAGAATTGTTGGCTGGATATACCATTGGGCAGAGAGTCATGTGCACCCTCCATATGGGGGTGCTGTGCAGGTACAGACCCTGCCTAATTCCTGGTGTTGCCAAGATACAACTGGCAGTGGCAAGAAGGCTGCATTCTGCACAAAATGTAGCCTCCTGCTCCAAGACCAGTGGCACCTACAGGCTGCTGCAAATCCCTACTTGTCAACTGTCCTGGGTTTGTCAAGACAGTCTGATTCTTCCTCCCCTGTCCCTCCATGGCGGTGTCCTGAGATCACAGCTGGTTGAACCTGTCACCACCATAACCCAGCCTTCCATGGCTCATTCATATGAATTTTGCTGGTAAATATTGCCCCCAGAAGCCCCTCCCACCTTCATCACTGCTGAATGCTTCCCACCTGGGGCATGTAAACAATCCAGAGCAGGCTTGGGGTTCTGCAGTTGATGGGTGCAACAGAGTAGACTACCATTTGTAGTGCCAAGGGGAAGATGCAGAGGTGGGTGGATTGGGATAAAGATGTTAACGGGGGGGGGGGTCATTATTACCCCAACACACTGCTAGTCATTGTGAATCTCTAAGGCCTCATTCACAGGTGCAGATAAGAAGGGTGCTGGGCCAAGTGGGTGGAAAAAGCACTGGGCATGAGTTGTGGGAGGGAAAATGAAGTGCCCCCACCAGGGTGTGTGTATCAGCACAAGGCTAACTCTTCTGTATAGGATTGGTGTGGCATCAGTTGACATTGGCTCTACAGCTTATACTTTGTTTGGATCTGATTTGGTTTATTTGTGTTAAAACAAGACTTACTTGCTGTACAGTGAGCTTGCATTTAGAGCAGCTTCTGTATGTGTGGTACCTAGCCTGTTGCTCTTAACACCTCCCAGACTATGGCTTCTAATGTTGGTGTGGCTTTCCCACCCTTCTATATTTTCTTGCTCATTCTGTCATGTGCCATCCTGGGAAATTCAGCTAGTTACCTGGTGACCAGAAGTCTTTCAGAATGGCACTTGGTTCTTTCCTTATGTTACTGTACTGGGACTGTTTGCTTTTTAATACAGCTTTGCTTGTTTCTGATTGGGAGGGGGGGAATATGGCTTCGCTTGTTTCTGATTACTTTATTTACAGACTGAGGTAGCATTGCTTTTAAAGTGTTCTTGGGGTGGCTTCCTGTCTGGTAGGCAGTCACCTCTCATGTATGATGTCCTGGAAGGTAACTAACACTTGTGCTTTTGGGGTGGCAATATAGTTTGTGTTTTGTGGTGGCTTGTTAGCCATGGTAGGAATAGCTGAGGGGTTGGTTGAGTACTAGGTCATGACAAGGGTATTGTCTACTTCCTTTTTAAGGGGTCAATTAACGAAACAGCATAAGTCTTCTATACCATACCGTTCTAATTAATTGACACGACACTGGTATTGGATTGTAGTGGCCACAGCAGCCAATTAAGTATAAAAAAAACCATTTAACAAATCTTTCCAAAAATAACTGACCACGGGAACTGAGGTCCTTGAAGGCCATCCCACAACAAAAGACCAACCAGTGTCTCCCTACATGGCCCCCAGCCGCACCGCATCGGGGACTTGGCAGTATAAGCAGACACTAGATGACTAACTATCCGACCCATTAACAAAGGGGATGCCATACCTGAGACAGCTTCCCGCCTTAATTAAACAGCATCTGCATAGATTGCTCCTCAAGGACCCAAATACCCTGCCCGGCTGCAGTGACATGAATATCAAGACAAAATGCAATCATACAATGCAAATATTGAATGAAAGGAAATACTGCACACAAAAGGAAAATAAAAAAGTAGGGTGGGATTGTGGGACTCTACTTTCACGCTGCTGACTCCGTCTGGATCTGGAAACTTCTTTTCCTCAGGGATCCACCTACACTCCTCCTCTCCGCACCTCTGACCATCAGGTAAGTGTCTTATCATACCCCCCTGTTGCTGGGGACAAATTAACCCTTAGCAGGACCCCTCTTGTTTTCCCAAACCCCTGTCATATAGGCCTTACACAGATGCCTCCGTCTGCTGTTCCAGGCCTGTCTGATAATCCATAGCAACCAAATGGTTTCTTTGTTTTTAAAAGGGGGAAACCTAATGAGGTACTTTTTTTTTTTTTTATTTATTTTTGCTTCACTGGTTTTAAACAGCCACGTTTCTTTTCTTAAATACACGCCATAGTGCTTTTATTTTCTCTGCTTTAATTATAATGCACATGTCTCCGCAGAAACTGTCACTGCATGGGTTGGCCAATGTTTCCAAACGGCACAGTGCCCTGTCCTGAGGACCATGTGGCTACTAAGATCACCGACTACAGCAGAAGATAACTGGAAAGCTACCAGGTAATTGGCACTAAAATTGACGAAACGGGAAGCCTTTCCTACAGCATGTGGTACAGACCTCTATATATACCTGGACTCTGACATTGACATTTACACCAATCCTGGAGCTTTCAGCTGCATGTTACTTGTGCACTTAATTCCCTATCATTTTCTGGTGTCTTGCAGCAACCAAATTCATAGCTCTTAAAAGAACCTGTCCTATTTATCAGTGACAGCTGAAAGTCTGATTCACAAAGCTTTTCATACACTCCTTTTTAAGAAACTGGAGTCTGGTAAGACAGAGCTGGTGGCAGTGCCATTCTTATGAGGCAGCCTGAGGTGGTTGCCTCAGATGGCATCTCATTGGGTTGCGTGAGGGGGAGGGGGGGGTGGAAGTTGTGCTCTGGCCAGAGCATCCCAGGCTGCAAAGAGCTCTTAGTAACCTTTGCCGCTCTGTCTGGCGTCCTGCCCATGTCACTGGTTGGCAGGAGCTGAGCGGGATGCTCTGGCTGACAACCTGCCCAGCTCCTGGCAACTAGTGACATTAGTGAGCTAGCCCTCCTGTCGCCCCCCCCCC